GATAGGTCTATAAAGGAACTGCCCAACCAACTTGGTAGCAAGATGCTAGGCTCCAGAAATAGCCAGGCTATCTCAGGTTGGCTCAAGGAAGAGACGGTCCATTCCTACCTATCCTCAGTTCAGGGGCATGAATAGGATAACCTAAGGCCTTACCACAAACAGTATTTTTTTAAAAAATTCTTTCCTCTGTTCAGCAATCAGGACCCAGACATCTACCTGGCATTTCTCTAGTAGGACTTTGTACAGAGAGACGCACTTCAGCTCTTAATATAAACTGCCTCCCCCACCTGATCACATTGGCTTACAAGCTGTAAGTCTCTAGAAAGAAGAAAGAAGGGAGGGAGGGATTGAGATGCTGACATTTTCTGGGCAGCCCCTTCAGGTGACAGTGCCTCCACAGTCTCCCAAGGCATCTCATGACATATTTTGGGACAAGGTGGAGTGTGGGTGCCTCTGGACCTTACCAGCTATTTGTTCAGACATCTATGTAGCTTTCCCAAAGCTGCTAGTAACCCATTGTTGAGTGCAAATTGAGACCCTACCTTACCCTGCTTATCCCCATCTTTTTGGCTGACTCCATGGAGTCTAAACATTGCCACAGCAATATCTATCTCTACACAGCCCACAATCTCCCCCCAACCCCCCACTTTACTAAAAGACTATGGATCCTGTCTTTTGCTATCGCCAAATGCCTTGGTCACTAAATCTAATACTCCACCATCTACCACAGTGTTTTACATAAATTTCCAAAGATTTTTCATTTTTGCTGCTTACAACAACTGCAGCAGCACAGACATTTACCAGCACAGTAGAGAGCAAGTTCAAGACATCCATCATATCCCAAGTGAGTTAACTAGCTTGAGTTGTCCCAGTCCTCGCCGCATTTAGATTTAGCTTCAAGTCATAGCACTATCCTAGACACTGATGATATATCTGCACCAGTTTCATAAAGACACTATGTTTCAAATTATTATGAAATGTTCCTGTTCTTCTAACTCTACCACAGCATAGGAGAATATTCAGCCTTTCTATGCAATCTGTTGTTCCTCTGTGGAAGCTGTCATTTTAGACATTGCAAACATTAAATGCTCTCCATAGTATTCATGATTAAAGTAAATCTCCCCAGGATCACTCTGTAATTTTGTTCCTTCTCTATTTATACCATTCATCCTATTAATTTGTCTTTTATTTCATTTCTATATTCTAAGTTAATACCAGAAATGCAAAGCATAAGTGTGATGTCACTATCAATATACTTTTCTATTAGTTTTCCCCAAATATGATGCATCTAACAACCTCACCTTGTTTATTATGACACGCACTTCGCTGGCAAAATCACGTGAGCAGATTTCTAAGTGGAAAATCTTTCCACAGTTTGAAACACAGGCTCCCAACAGCTAACAAAATGGAGACAAAATTCAATAAATGAGACCATCCACAATAAACTGCAGAAAGCTCCCCAGATCCTAATCAATCCCTGCCCCCTGTGATAGAGCAGGCCAGGAACAGAGCAGGCCAGAAATACTGAGAAATAAATCAATAACAAGGCAAATATTTAGTCATCGATATAAATATAGTTTAAAATGTTTTTAAAAGTTCACAAGGATTGTTTTATGAAGAACTTGAGACTTTTCACCCCCAAATAAATCATGTATATACTTACAGTTAGTGCCTGCAGTGCAACATGGGGTACTTTATGATTTACTCTCTTTAAAATGGCTTTGAGGCAGTCTTTTGCTCTAGATAAAATAATATCTGTATCAGTCTCTTATTTTACTTGCTTAAAAAGGAACAAAAAGCCCCACAAAGAAGGATACTGGAGAAAGAGCTTTGGGGCATAACATTATTATTAGTGATACAAAAGGAGGTTCCCCCACTTAATACTTCCACCTCAAAACACGATCTTATTCTGCAAAGCAAGCCACACTCAGTTCGGTAGACTTATCTCTAAGAGAAGATGTTCAGGATGAAATAGATAGATTTCAATCATTTAACGCTTCAGTCTGAATCATGATTTGCTACATTAATCTAATGCTATTTTTCAGTTTTTCTGATTTGGTCAGGGTCCCCACATTACTCTGAACCTTGGTTTAACTATGGTTTGTTCAATGAACCACAGTAATTGAATTCACATATAAACCAAGCCATAAACAACAGTTTACAAAACACAACAGCTGCTATGCCACTATACAATGTGTGTGACCCCAATATCTACCTAACTGTAGAGAACCATGGAGATGGCCATGGAGGAGAAATGCAGCAGTTAGCACAACATGAGGTCAATCTGGGAAAACAAGATAGTGTGAGAAAGAAACTTAAAGTTGCCCCACGTTGACTCCCCATGGTAGAAGTGGGAGGGAGGGCTAACGCTGCTAGGCTTTCAAGAAGATCTATAAAGGAGAGTTCCAGTATTTCTTGTGGAGTCCATTTCCTGAACTAGCCTACCTCGAAAAGCTAACAGTAATGCAGAGAATGGCAGCAGAAGCACACTTGCTGTCTCAGCACTGATTGAATGCACATGTACAGAGCATACAAACTTAGATTCTTTCTATGTGACTGGGGATTCATGAAAGGCTGGGTTCCAACTTTTTACTGGGTCCGTATGAACACAGACAATACAGCAACAATCAGCAAGATGCAAACCTGTCACCTTTCCACATGTTAATTCAAAAGATAATTTGAAAGGGCCTAATCACTTGGAAATGTTTAATGTGTCTAGTTTAGACAACAGTAACCTTACAGAACAATACAACAAATAAAGATAATTACAAGCAAAACAGCCCTGGCATGCTAATTGCTACTTGAAATACTTTTTTATTATTCAAATAAAAGCAGATGCTGATGTCTTTCAACCATCCATATTTTACTTTTTTAGTCCAGTCTAACCTCAAGCGTTTCACTGGAGGCAGTTTTAGTAAATTAACACTTAACAATGGAAATTAATAATAACCAGTTTCCAAGAGCTCCAGAGTAGAACTAATGATTAGCAGAGAAGTTCACTGTTCTTATCTATGTTCCCCTTATGACAGTCTGGCTCTCCTTCTTCGTAACACATAAAAAAGCTACTTTCTGTTCTGGACTTCTAAGTGAGCTAGTTTAAAGTTTAAAGTTTTCATTTGGTCTAAAGTAGATTTGTTTGGATCTCCCCCCCCCCCTTTTTTTCAAACTAGATAATGTAGCATAATCACATTATTCTGTGTGTGTGTGTGTGTGTGTGTACACATACGTATACATATATGCTTAAAAAAAACTGGAATGAATAAGGCTGCCTGACAGATCTGGGCAGAAGGCACAGATTAATCAGAACATCTCTAAAATAATATTCAAGATATGTTGGCAGGTCTTACCCATTAGGAGTGCTTCCAACCTTGTCACATATATCCATAATAACCGACCAGTCTTCAACAGTGTTGTACTCATTTGTAGCCTTTTCTGTGGAGAAAAATAACATAACAAGAATCAACAGCCTTCCAGGCAGGATACAAGCATCTTTTGTCTGAAATGGTCACTAGCTCAAAAAGCACTTTCACCATCCTGCTAAAACCCTAAGTTCACAAACATGTTTGTTTTGCATTCTGACTATAATACATGTCTACAATTGGATACATTTACTTCAGTGCAGCGGAAAAATAATCACAAAGTACAATTTCAAATGAACACCAAGCTATGACAGATTGGAGTCTGAAAGAAAATGTGAATGTTTCAAATGTTCATATTTTACCTCTTAGTGGGTACCTCTACAAATGTTTAATAAATCGTCTTGTCTTCTTCTCAATCCAGACAGCTGATTTATATGACATCATTCACATAATTCAGAAAGCTCATTCTCAGATAGGAAATTACAAATAAACACAACCATTTCCACTTTATGAACAAAGTACACTATCACCTGAAAGGGCAAGTTATTCATACCATCAATATGAGCTGTATTTGGGGACATATTAGCAACTAATCTTCATGTTTGATAACGTATGCATTTGAATTCAACTTTTTTAGAAGCAATACTGCCAACAGAATGAATTATTTTGAAACAGCCATTTAATAATTTTATCTCTAATCTCCAAATCAAGTATGAAGGGCATTATTATCTTTGTTAGAGTAACATTAAAAGCATATTTACACACTTACACACACACATATCTTGTTATTCAGTGGCACAACTAAAAAGGCCCAGGAATATGAAATTATTGCTGATGGATACTGGATAATTGAGAAAGCCAAAGAATACCAAAAAGAAATCAGTGTTTTATGGCTATAAAAAGGACTTTGTGTCAATCATGTCCAACTGAGGAATGTCCTTAGAAAAATGGGACTGCTAGAAGATCTCACTGTCCTCATGGGAAACCTAAATACAAATCAGGAAGCCATAATACAGGCAGAACATAGCGAAACAGACTGGCTCCACTGTTGGCAAAGGAGTGAGACAAGGTTGTATATTCTTCCCTTATTCATTCAACCTATATGCTGAATATATATTAAGGGGGGGACTGAACTGGAAGATTAGCATGTTTTTAAAATTGGAGGAAGAAACATAAAAAACCTGCACCGAAGACACTACTCTGATAGCTGAAAATGCAAATGATCTGCAAGCTCTAGTAATCAAAGTCAAGTAGCCCAGAGAAAAAATGGGATTAAGATGTGATAAAGATGACCCAAAAAGTGACAACAGGTACAGCAACCATCCTTAGAATTGGCAATGAATTTTTATATATGATAACTGCTGCAAGATATGTGCAAAAATGGAAAGACTCTGAAATATCCCCAATGGAGGAATGACTGGTGAAGATTACAAAATTAGCAGAGATAGCAAAATTGACTTGTTTGATTAGAGAAAGGACAATAACTACATTTATTAGTGCCTGGAAACCCCTTATGGACTTTTTGCTGAAAAAAGAAAAAAATAAACTTGTGATTTATGGGTTTGATGATTAGAAAGGGTAGACTATGGAAAGAAGGAACTTAGAGTGGATAAAATATAGATGTACTTGTAGCTGCTGTTAAGATTGGAAGCCACTTCTTTGTAACTTTTCTTTCTTTCTCTTCTCTACTTCTTTCTTTGCACTTTTTTCCTACTTACTACTTTACTTTCTTTACTTTTTTCTTTCAAAATGTGTATTGTTTTTATTCTTTTAAAAATTCTTTAATAAAAATTGTACACATACAAATATATATAAGTTGACAAGGAAAATATTGAAGTGATGGACAATTTCTTTTAGTATTGACTATCAACAATAAAGGAACTAACAGAAATATGCCGCACACAGCACTTGATAGGGTAGCTATGAAGCCCTTGGAAAAGATATTCAGATGCCAGGATGAGTCTATGCCTACAAAGATCAGGATAATGCAAGCAATGGCTTTCCCTGTGACACTCCATGAAAGTGAAACTTCCAGTTCAGAGCAGGGCAATAGACTTGGGCTGCTTCTTCACCAAAGCCAGAAAGCCTATTCAGAACAGTGATTCATGTCCCCCCACAAAAATCAAGGACTATCATAATTTTTTTCAAAGTAAATTTGGGGATATTAGGGCAAAGTTTACCAACGATTTTAATTCAATAGAATAGGACTGTGACAGAACTAGCAAAGGAGAACACATTTAAGGGAAATCTCAGCTCAGTACAACCAGTTAAATTAAATAAGGATTTGTCATTAATTAGTTGGCTCACATTTCAGCTAAAGTCAGTCAGTGGAAATACAACTGGAGTCCTAGAGCTCATCAAAATTCTACTATACTAAGAACAACTGTATCTTAAAGAGGAGGTAAAACTGTAAACACTTCTAAGTTAATAAGATCACTGTACTATGTTCCAATTCAAAAAGCTTCTATGTATAAGCATTTACAGTATCTTGATGAGGAATTGTGTAATTAGAGAGATGCTACTTTGTAGTTTTTCTATATGACCAACCTGTCAGAACTGGGAACATACTTGATCAGAGAAAATAGGGAAAATTAAGCAATTACATATTAACATTCCATAATCATAGGTCATTTTTCACTAAGCTATGAATATGCATGTGGAAGTCTCCTTCTGTTCCTAAATGGTTCCCAACTAAATTATGGCAACTGCCTTATTGTTATACAATCATCTGAAATCTGTATCATTTAATATCATGTATTGCAAAAGAACAACAAAGAATGAAGAACTTGCATAAGAAACAGCAATCACAAGCTTCAGCTGGTGCAAAATGCAGCGGTGCGGGCAGTTATGTGTGCCCCTAGGGTGGTACATGTTACACCTCTGCTTCGCGACCTGCACTGGTTGCCAGTTTGCTTCCAGGTCCAAGTCAAGGTGCTGATTTTGACCTTAAAAGCCCATCATGGCATGGGGCTGGGTTACCTGAGGGACCACCTCTCCTTGATTACATCTGCCCTTCCCATCAGATCTGGCAGAGAAGGCATGCTGCAGTTCCCGTCTGCTAGAGAATTACATTTGGCAGTTCCCAGGAGGCGGGCCTTCTCTGCTGTGGCGCCCGTCTTGTGGAATCTTCTCCCCCCGGAAGTGAGATTAGCTCCATCCCTCTTAATGTTCCGCAAATTCCTCAAGACCTGGCTATGTG